TTTACGTTGATCTTTACGCGTATTATGCGAAGGAAGAAGCTAGTGCTATACTCGAACAAGCTTAAACCGAATGATATCTAGGGCTTGGGGAAGTAGATAATAGATTCGAAACAAGGCTCGGGTCACAGGCGACGCCGATATAAGTTCTAGTTCTGAGTTATTTACGCGGGCTTGGAAATTGGCTTGGATATTAAACTTGTTTAAATTGAACATAGAAAACCCGTCCGGATATAGGTATCCAGAAATACTGAATGATCAATGGTAAGCTCCTAACTTTTCTGTATCTTACACATCCAACTTACATACAATTTCATCTCAATTCGTAACTTGCAACCGCATACAGCAGTATAGCCGTACTAAGATAGCAACGTATGGAGCTCTATGTTGTGACACGTACCAGCACGAATCCTACTCGCTGCCTCGCAAAGCTGAAAGATGGGAATGGAAGCGATCGGCAGAAATCGTCTCACTACTAACGAAGGAAGCCAACCCCAGCTGTAAACTCGATATAAAAGACCTGGTATGGAGGAAGACGCACCTGCTCGGGCATAAAGGAAGATGTCGTACGTCCCACCGTGGCTGTTGCAGAACACGCGTATTAATTATGCGATAAATCACAATGTTTTCAAGGTTTGTAAATCCCCCCAAACCGTATATTCCTCCGACGCGCTGGATATGGCACGATTTTCACGATGATCTGCTGCCTAATTATCGTAATATCTAAATCTAGTATAGCTGGTTTAGTTTCAAGCAAGGCATAGGTAACACGAATTTCTCTTCATTTTTTCCGTAAGACAGGGCATGCCCAGTTTCCGAGGTTCATTGATTCCGCATCATTTTATTCTTATACCTTTCATGAGTTCACAGGAACAGCAAGCCAAGACGTAAAGCGCAATATCAAACAGCCGCCTCTCGTATTACTATATATTACCTTTCAATAGTTACCTGGTTTATAAATGATAAACAATATGCCTTTGGAAAGGAAGCTTAGATCCATTTGCATGATCTGTGTAATATTCAGCTGAGTCTTAGCCATAAATATTCACTTATATCGTCGGTTCTCACCCTTATAAGGTGGTGTCGGAACAAACATCTTGTGTCAAAATCAATGCAAGCACCCTTCTTCTATCGCGATGAACAGACGCCTACCTACGGAAGGATACTGTTAGACTGGCCTCACTATCGTCAAATGTAGCATCTCTATCGAACTGGGGAAATATACAATGCCGAAGTGGCCAAATATGTAAAGGAATTAAAAATAGTCTCGTTTTTACATGTCTAAAACATAAGAATAACTTGAATCTTAGGATAGTGAAGAGGTATATATACGAAGTAGAAGTACTAATATAAGCTTTGTGATAAGGTTAGAGACGGCTTAGAAGTACCCACAAGGCTTATCAGCACTGCAGCAGCAGTAGTGACGTCGCGCTGATGAAGTTTAGCTACCTACAGATAAACACGGTGCGCCTTAGTGCGCCTCGGGCTTTCAATCCACCATTGACCATTGAAATCCCATATCAAGAGACAAAGTTGTTCAGACAAAGTTGGCCGTTGTTGCCTGTCGGAACACCCCTGCAGGCTGTGCGCTTCTGTACCTAATGTAGGCATTCACCGACATTTGAACGCCCATAGCGTATCTGATATACAACCTCTTTTTACCTGTCCGGCACTTTCAATGTTTAATTAACAAACATACCACCTGTAACTTGGAGGACAGTACACGTCATCAGTTGATTGCCATATCTCGGGGAATTCCCTATCTAATCTGACCTCATTATCATCATGAGCGAACTTTTAAACTATCTAGTGCAGAACGACGATAATTTCCGGAGGTAAACCTATCATCTATTTACTAACGTTGATATTGAAAATTCCATCCTAACTTAGATACTAGAGCCCGCCTCCCAGCCCTCTATTCCGACTTCCGATCTCAGCGAACCCTCAACCCAGACGGCTTCGCCGCCAACGTCGCAGCATGGAAGCGCGGTCTCTCCTCCGCCGCCCTAGCCGGCCAAGCTCCCTCCAAATCCGCAACGCATAACCACCTAACCCTCGACCTCGAAAGCGATGCCCTCTTACGCTCTCTCGAAAGCAAGCAATTCGGGCGACCGCTCGCTCTAGGCACCGTGTTGCAGGAGGCCCTAGCAAGCGGCGAGATGATGCCGCTGCAGCAGTTCCTCAAGGCGAAGGAGAGCATATACTACCGATCGTGGAGTAGTCTTCCATGGTCGATCGTTTCGTGGGGACTTCGACAAGCCGGGATCGGTGGGCCGGGCGATAACTTGCCCAAAGGCCAATTTGTTATATTGCACAACCTGGAAGTGGTATCCAAGACATTTGGCGAAGCGACCGCAAACCGCACGTCGCCTTTCGAGCGGACTTTTTCAAAAACACATTTCCAACGAACGTTTGCAGAGGGCCTAGTCGAGAAGCAGCAGCGGCTATCGGAGATAGATCTGGAAGTACTAGTGACGTTTCTTTCGCGAGACAAGAACATGCTAGCTACAGATGGAAACACAGTTAAGATCCGGAGCGGTCGTGAGGATGTGGTCATCACTCAGGAGGATTCGGCGATCGCGTCCCTGAAGGAACTTATGGAGGACCTGACGCGACAGACCGAGGTGCTGAGCCGGCGCATCGACGAGTTAAACGTCGCTGCCCAGGACGCTGTCCGGAGAAAGAACAAGATCGCTGCGCTTGCGGCCCTTAAGTCGAAGAAGTTGGCTGAGACGAACCTATCGCGACGGCACGATACGCTTAGCCAGTTGGAAGATGTGGCGGTGAAGATCGAGCAGGCTGCTGACAATGTGCAGCTAGTGAAGGTGATGCAGTCGAGCACAGTAGCCCTGCGCAGCCTGAACGCGCAAGTCGGCGGTGCCGACAAAGTCGATGAAGTACTGGAGAATCTCCGGGAACAGATGGGCGAAGTAGACGAGGTAGGCAATATCATCGCCGAGGCAGGCCCTGGAGCCACCGTCGACGAAGCAGAAGTCGACGACGAACTCGAGGCTATGCTGGCGGAAGAGCGGAAGAAAGACGAAGAAGCAGAGAGAATCAAGCGCGAAGCACAGGAACAAAAGGAGGCCGAGGAGACGAGACGCAAGCTCGCCGAGCTGGAGAAACTGGGTCCCTTGCCTGTGCCGGGACAGGAAGGAGAGAAAGCTTCGAGACCTCTTACGCCTATCACGGCTACGGCTAATGGGCTAGGAGAGATGCAAATATGAAGCAATAGCAAGCCAGAAGAGGCAGCAACCCGTGTAATATTTACTCGCTAAGCGACCACCTGATACGATAGATCTTTCCCTTGAACGTTCGAGGCAATATAATATTAGCAATTATATCATGATATCACCGTCGTTCTAGACGACGCGTCTAGATCTACCCTTTCTTCTTCCCCATCTGAAAGCGCCGCAGCCGAGGCGTTGGAAGATGGGATTTCGCCTGTTAAATCGATTATCCCGGTCGCTTGTGTGACGGAATCGACTTGTTCCTGTGGTTCTGAGTCTTCTAACGATGCTATCATCTCCGAATCTGGCTGTGGAGTTGGTTCACCCCCCTTATTTCCGTCTTTGCTCTGCATCCCGCCTCCCGCCTTCTTGTCTTCACTACTCTTTCGCCCCATCAGTACCTTGTTCCGCCTAGCGTTAGCTATTAGATCTTTAAACGAGCTATCGTGCTTAGAAGCCCACGCCGCACCGTCGAAGTCCTTGTCCTTGATCTGCGCGCCTAGGCTGAGCGTTCTTGAGTTCGTCGGCGCGCGGCTGCCTACCGTGCGCTCCCATACGTCGAGATCGTGTAGCAAATCCCCTTTCCGCCGCGGGTATTGCGAGTCGCAGTTTGCGTTCCATATTGTCGTCCACTCTTTATGTCTTTTCTCTAGCATCTGCCGACCGCCCGCTGCCGATAGTCCCTGCTCTTGTAGTTTTTTCCGTAGTTGAGGTTCTTTAAGCATGGAATAGTTCACTGCTGGTAGTCGCTCGAAATTTCTGGTTGGCGCCTTTTTAGGCGAGGACGAGGAGGAGAAGGCGTTTGGTATGCTTGTAGATCGCGATGGAGGCTTCGAGGGCGTTCTTTGTGGTTGTGGTTCGCCGGGACATGAAGTATCGAGGTGTCTGTCGACTTGGAGCGGTTTCATGCGCAGCAAGCAGATAGGACATGCGACTAGCCCGTCGTCTGGTTCGAAGTCTGTAAAGTCTTGGTAGGGCACGTCGGCTTCTAGACGTGCCATCTCGGATGTCATCTCCATGCTTCTCGACTTGCTTAACCTCGTTGAAGATCGTAGTCTCTTCCCTAATCTTTGGCTTGCCGAATCCGAGTCCTCTGTCTCTTCCAACTTCCTCTTCCCTGGCTCAGCTATAGCATCCTGTGACCTCTTCGCGAAAAGTAGGACATCAGGGCGTGTCTTCGTAAATGCGAAAACGACCTCCTCCATGGACCAATTGCTTCGTAGTTTCATCTCTTGCTCGGAAGTACGGCACAGAGGGCATTTCCCGTCGTTAGAGAGCGCTCGGCGAATACATATCGAGCAAAAAGTGTGGTTACAGGATGTTAACATCGGCGTCTTGTAGAAATCTTTACAGACCTGACAGCGTAGCGCCGCCTCGACAGCGGCGAGCCCAGAGAGAGGAGTTGATAGCCAGTCCGTCGAGTCGGAAACATCTTCAAAGGGTTCGAGAATGGCATTGTTATTCATTGCCGATGATTAGTTAGATGGGTCGGGCTAATTGGATATGGTGGCTCGTTGGCGATCTCAATTCTTTATAAAATTCGAATATTCATAAGTGAAAACATATACGGACAGTTCTTTATGTGTTTAAGCGGGAATTAAGGAATTGAGACGAGGAAAGTAGGCGTGGAAGTCGAGGCTTGCGTATCTGATGAGATCATTGTCAAATTGAAATCGCGACTGCCCTTAGCGACGCGCTTACCACCTGAAATTTAAACCCCTGTCTATTAGTGGTTACCCTGTAGGCTTGTACCTGTGAGTTCCTAGCCCCACTACCACTTAACGCGTATTTCTTTTTCAGACGCGACTACCAGCTTTAAAGTGGCATGCCACCTTTCTCACTTCAATAATTACTTTAATTATCTTGAAATAGCAAAGAACAAAATATACTGTATTTCGTCCGCTTATGCTATAAGCTGGACTATTTGATTATTCTTGAGATTTCCGGTCAATATGGAACCCTATATGCAGTATCTAGCCCAGAAGCTCCTCACTGAGGATCAACTCGTAAGCTATAAAATACCTATAGCCAGAACTCACAACATCTTATTAACGCAACTATTTTAAAGGTAACTTATCGCCTTCTGAGCCGGGCATTGAAGGTCCATGTCAATACTGCTAAAGAGTAAGTACTTAATCCAAAATTAAAGGAAGATCGAAGAGCGCTGACGGTTTTTTAGGATGCTCTATGATTTTCACAAATCGCAGAACGATAAACGCCCGGGATCTCTTCATGCCACATACCTCGTATATGGTACTAAGAAGGCACCGGTAAAAGTAGAAGAATCGGATGGCGATGTGAAGATGACCGATTCTCAAAGTTCGGAAGAGATGCATGTTCCTTTCTCGGATGAAGTCCCTACCTATACGCTCTCTATAGTTAAGGAGGAACAACTGCAAGGTTAATAGAATGCTTCGATTTTCCTGTTTAGTCTAGCTAACGAGAGGCAGATCTACTGGCAGAGTATGATGAGGTTACCTCGATACACATCTACAGCTTAGCACCCCATCCCCTCAAAGACCTCCAGCTCTTAGCCGATACAGCTCGACAGGTCCTAGAGCTATCCACAACAGGCGACGTTCCAGCTTCAAGCAAGACATTTGGTTCAATTGCCAATCCTAATATGCGTAGGAGGGAACGTCGTGGGCCAGCACCCAAGCCTGTTACAAGTACACCCACTCCTAAAGCTGCACCAAAAGCCGAAAACAAGCAGGAGACACAGCCTGCCGATGTTAAGGAGGAGCCTAAGGTAGCACCTCAAGGTAATGTTAAAGGATCAACTCCAGCTACTACTACTAAGAAGCCTACCGCAGCTGCTTCGCTGAAGCGACAGAGTTCTTCTGGAATTGGGCAAATGTTTGCTAAGGCAGCTGCTAAACCTAAGAAACCTGCTGCTAAGGCTCCAGCAAGTGCTGTCGAGGAGGACCAAAAGATGGCCTTGTCTGATGACGGAGAGGACGACGTCGTGCCGATGCCGGAGGTTAAGCAAGAGTCAGAGAGTGCTAGGCAATTGAGGAAGAATCGCCAAGCCGAACTTCGTCGCATGATGGAAGAGAGTGAAGAAGAGGAAGAAGAGGAAGAAGAGAAAGCGGAGAGTCCTACTGAGGAGCCCATGGAGGAAGAGGAGGAGGAGCCTTCACCCGAACCGGAACCTAAGGAAGAAGAGCCCGCGGAAGTAGTATCGAGCACAGGCGATGGTAAACGTAGGGGAAGACGACGAGTTACGCGCAAGAAGCAGGTCATGGATGATAAGGGATATTTGGTTACGATACAGGAACAGGGTTGGGAATCATTTTCCGAGGATGAAGCTCCGCCGCCGCCTAAGCAGAAGCCTCAACCAGTCAAGGCAGAACCCGCTGCGAAGCCCAAGAAGGCGGCAGGCAAGGGTCAGGGCCAGGGCAACATCATGTCCTTCTTTTCGAAGAAGTGAGGCCGCTACTATATACTCGGAGGTGGGCTAGAGCGGGTCGCGGGAAATATTAACTGAATAGTCCATGAGATTCCTCTATTACAAGAAGGGCCTGTCCTGAGATAATCGCGATGAAGCAGGAATTTTATCATCTTCGACAGAAGTTTACGACATGTTACTATATTAAGAGATGAAATTCCTTATCTAAACTTAACGCCTACCTACCCCCGATGTATACTCTGTGATTATAAACTCCCACCAGACAAAACTTACTGGGAATCGTTTAATGAGATCTGCCTTTTAGTTATGAGTATGTGACTTGCAGCGGTGCTAGCCTCTATGGCTAACCTTCCCTTCTCCTTGGCCATGTTTAAAGGGAAAGCAATTAAGCCAGTGCAAATATTTTGGCCCAAGTGTATGTAACTCCGAGATAATTGTATTCATCATGAATAGATCATCTTGCCTTTAGTACGATATAATAATATTTTTTTTTTCAATGTACCAGGAGCGAGGCTCAGGAACATGTAGGTTAAAACTCGAGTGAGCCCGGCGGCGTTTACCGCAAGTGCTCATGCTTGGTTCAGATATGTGCACGATCGACGATTTACGACGTATGAGTCCGCCTACATGAGCGATCGAACGGAAACACTACCGAGAATTAAGCCATCACGTCTCAGTTGCAGTGCAGCAGAGTCCTGCATATGAGTCATGCAAATTGCTTACACATATGTAGGCGTGGGCGTGGGTGACGTTAGTCAACAAGGAAATACCTTTTTCGATTAGTTAGGAGCGATCGTTGTGGGCTATGTGTGTATTTACAGCACACACGTGCGCACTAAGATGAGGCTAGAAGATCGAGAAGAATACTTTGCAAAGAGTTTCAAGCGTTTCAGGTAGGAAATTACATATGAATACGAGCAATAAGGAGTCCGTCTGACCTCGGAGAGCCACGAAAGAGAAAACGGATCGGGAATTTACGTAAGCGGCGAAAATGGATAGGCAACGGGGAAACTATCGAGGCCGACGGCGGGACGGGGATAGGGTTCGGGGCTCGGATGATGAGAATCGGGGCTTGCAAGGTTCCATAGGACAAGCGAGAAAGCATCGCGGAGCATTTTCGTAGCACTGAGCAGGGAAGCTTAAAGAATGGAGTTGGGTCCCGTAAGCCGGTTTTCTGCATCTTTGCACATGGCAATCCTTCTGATTTTCAAGGACCTAAGGTTGTTCCCCCACCTACCCTTGACGCGGCTGAATGGATGGATGGATGGATGTATGGATATCGGTTATCAAAATTGTTAGTAGGTAACTTCGAACATCGAGTAACTTGAGTTGGTAACAACTTAGGTTAGGCAGGTATCGTGTCGCGTGTGCTTAAAGCTTCGGTGAGTTGAAGTTGACCGGAGAGTAATAAAATAAGAATACTATGTAATTGGTGGAATTAATAGGATGCTCTAAAGTGTTTGTTCCTTTATTTTTTTCTCTTGTTTCTCTCTAATCATCCTATTAAGATCTGCATCTTATTAGCTTGACTCGTCGTGGGCATAAATCTTGACAAGATTGCCGTTACCTCGTGACACTACAAACTGGGATTTTTCTCTCAGCTTGCGACTTCGGTTATCATTATAACACCGGCAATAGACAAACAGACAGGCTTTGGAATCGAGGGAACAATATTTCTTGCCACCGCCAATTTTCATTGCCGGTCCCTTAAAGAATAAATCCGGGGAACTAAGCTCGATATCATGGGCTACCCCTCCGTAATAGCTTCATGCGTTCGCGGTGCGCAGCGAGTGCCGCAGCTGTAGGTAGAGCTGTATGATGATGCACAGGACATACATAGAGGCCTTCCTCGGATCCCGACAGACTGGGATCGAGATTCCGGCTTCACCCACCCTCAAGGATAGCAGCGTTGCCTCATTGGGCATGCCGGCCACGCGTGAACGAATCACGACTCTGAGATCTAGGACCGGGGTCCTACACGCGTCCTAATCTTCCCGATCTGCTCTTTTAACTTGAACGAGAAAAAATTGCTTCCGAACGTGCCGTACGCTAATCTGCCCTCCATGCTAGGTATTCTCAGCTGTAGCCTGGCATCCATGATTTCCAGGCAATAACATAGCTTCGTCATTGTATTAGAGACAGCTATGTAGAGACAATCTGGCCTCTAGCTGATCTGCTACAGGGCAGTACGCAATCTGCATGTATGTATATTTAGGATTGCCTTAAAAATGAATGACGAATTCTAGATCTGATTAGTCTGCTTATAGTTCGTCCGGGGGTTATCTGGCTGCCTGGGAGCTCAGGTAGGTGGTTACCTCCGTCACAAGGCGTTTACTTGCAGGAAATTAACCCATGACTATCCGGACGTGCAGGTATTTGTGTACTTCGCATTGAGCCTTTTAAGTTGCCTTCCATGAAGTTGTGTTACTTGCCACTATTTTGAGCTTGAACACAATAGTAGCTTATGTTCTTTTCTTTCTTAATAATATGTATTTTCAACGCCCCGGCCTATCTCGGACTGTGGTGTGTGATTTGAAAATGCACTGGTCGAGATGCACTGGTCGAGTCACACCAAACGTGAAATCCAAATAAAATTATAGAGGGGTGAGGGGCATACCTAAAGCTAGTGGTCGAGGCTGCATTAGGCGAATTGTTTTACCTAGGTAGTTCGCATACTGTATGTAGGTAGTATACTACCTACCTAGAGTCTACGCGAAAGCACTAACTGGCTTCCCGGATCCTTCCTTCTTAGCCCCGGGCTCCACTGTGTCAATTGGAAGTTTATAGAAATGTAACCCCAAAAGGCCGACTAGAAGTTGTCAGCAATAGAAAGAGCCGGAGAAGACGTTAGCATAGGGCTAATGCGTGCAAAACACCCTTGCCCTTTCCTTCTAGGTCCCTAGACTCCTACCCTAGTCCCCTGCAACTGTGTAAAGTTTGCAAAGCCAAAAAAAATTTACCATCTCCCGAATTTTATTATACCGCAGAATTCCAATATCATCCACCAAATCCCATCCACACCAACCCGTTCATTTTGATGAGATTCTTCTCTTCTCTCTCCGTTCACTTCTTTTCAACCAATTCAGACCATTTCTTATTTATAAAATTGGCGCGTTTGTTTGACGGCTACAGTGCTGTCAAATGAACCTGCAACTCCCGATTTTATCCTTTCTCTATGTAAGTCGTCATCGATTTGGTTATGTTCTTCTAGCTCTTTCGCGACGGCGAAAGAGATTTTTTTTTTTCGTACCTGAGATAGCCCGCCGAGATTAGGTCACGCGCGCACAGAACATTCTTCTTAGATCGTCTCTACTTCTCTTCAAATATTAGAATTCTGTTGAAATTATACTAACTAGATCTCCTTCTGTCTTCTCTAGTCCCCCTCCCCTCCTGGTGTCATCTAAATGCCCACTATCTATTCGTCTTTGTACCAAAATTTCATCCGTCAAGGATTTGCGAAATCTTTCACTCACGGCTACGCGCAATCTGTCGTAGCCGCTACACATCCCCATGTTCTAAACTCGCAGAACCGTCCGTCGTTTGCTCGACGTAACAGTCAGCGCGTCGGACGCCTCACTAGTCTCCAGCTTCAAAATGCCTTCCATAGCTCGAATCCGAATGCCCGACATGAGCTTCGCCACGAGAAAGATGGAAGCCATGGAAGCCTGGATGCCTACTTTGAGGCCCTGAGAAAACAGCAGGACAATGGGGATATTGAGAAAGAGTGGACTCAATTTCAGTTTCCCAAGCCTATCGAGTGGAAGCCGAATGCTTCGTCTGTCCTCGAGGATCCCGAGTCCAATGCGCTCGATGTCGATGCTCTCGAGGCCGCTGAAGCTAGTCAGAATGCCGGCGAGGATCTACCGGTTCCCGTCGACATAGATGTCGCGTTGGCGCATATCGACGCCGCTATCGAGAAGGAGATCGAGGCTCGCGAATTACGAGAAGCTCTAGAGAGCCCTGCGCGTTCTCTAAGAGCATCGACCCCTTCTATCGCGAGTGGTGTCCAGTCCCGAGCTAGGTCCCCTGTTCTCGAAAGGCCAGCGACACCTACCAGCATCTCTCGCACAGTGACACCGCCGGTTGATCCCCAGTCTAAGAGCTACGCGGACCATCTAACGAAGCTTTCTGAAGATGGCCGATATGCTGAGATCCCTGCTGTCTTTGAGGCTATGCTTGTTGCCGACATCAAACCTACGGCCGCATCCTACAACGCCCTGCTGGTCGCCGCTATCCACATCCCTACCGAAAAGATCGAGGTAGTCTCTAAGGCCTTGGATGTCTATGCCGACATGATGCGACGGAAGATCACGCCAGACAGCGACACGTACAACATTCTAGTTGGTCTATTAGCCGCTCGATGTCTGGAGGTGTCCACCCTCAAGAAGGGCTTAGAGGATAAGCGTCTCCGTTTTGGTGGTATGGATGAGCCTGGGAAGTTCATGTTCGCCTCGAATGAGCTGGAACACGCCATTCTGTCGGAGGACGACAGGCTCGATCTTGCCGTCAAGCTTTTTGAGACCTCTGTCTTAACAAATAAGGCCAACTACTCATCGGAAACCTATCATCAACTCATCTCGGCGTGTGCTCAGGCTGGCCGAGTCTCTGATATGCTGCACATATTTGAGCATATGGAGTTGAGTGGTTCTGTCCCCTTTGCGGCTACCTTCCCTTCTATGATCACTGCTTTTGCCAACACGGGTGATTTAGCCAGTGCTGTTGAGTGCTACAATGAGTACAAGGATCTTGCCGTCGCTCATAATAACGGTAACTACACGCTAAATGATCGATTGGACTCACAGGTTTACGCTTCGGTAATCAATGCATACGTCATCAACGACAAGCTTGACGGTGCTATGAACTTTTACGAGAAGATCACCAAGTCGTACGGAGTTGGTGCTGCCGAAATTCAGGACGCTATCATCAGCGGCGGATTCGTGAAAGGGTTTACTACAAGGGGAATCTACCACGAAGCACTTCAATGGGCACAGGCTATTGAGAATGAGGCTCGCTTAAGCGCTATGGCGGATATTGCTACTGCTGCTGCCGATTTTGGCGACCAACATACCGCGACCGCCGCGTTCGCCCACATCCCTACAGTGTTCCAGGGCATTGCAACTCCGGCGATGGCATTGCTTGCCCTCAGCGTTCGTCATGGCGATGTCCCAGCTGCCGCTCGATATTGGCACATCCTCAATAGCCCTGAAATCAAGGTTGACTCATCTTTCATCGAGCCGGCAGCCATGTATGCGGTCGCGATGATTGGTTCTGGTCAGGTTGCTGAAGGTTTAGCTCAGTCCGAGATGATGTTCCAACGAATTCGAGCTGCCGAAACCGACTCAAGGCCGAATCTCGCCGATGAATTGGAAGAGGGTGCCGAATTTATCTCTCGGTTCATGACTATTCGTGGTGTCGTAGATCCTCGCGAAGTTGCTACTCCAGTTAGCTTTGAGCAACAAGT